AGTTGGGTCCATGCTATTCTCAGTGATTGATTACGTTTATTGAATATTTGTGTGCTTCCTCTGCTGATATTCTAATTCATGCTTTATTCGTCGTCTTTGATACACTCTGATTAACCATTGTGGACCTCTAGAGTCTAATTTGCAATATTAATGCAAGTCTCTTTAACTTACGGATTATGAAGAGCATCCTAAGATCGTTTAATTTGATTCAGGCTTTATGTGGCTAATGTTTGGTCTTGGATGTGAATTAGTCTATCATGTTTCTTGGAAGGTAGGAAGCAATCTTGATGTTTACCAAAATCCAATGTGCTCTTTTGTAGCTCAGTTTTGAAATATGTACTAATTATTGTAGAGGGAACCCGAAACAAAGAGACCATATGTATGATTTTATATGCGAAGAGAAGCTCCGAATTTGAAATCGTCTCCACTCCGGTGATATGTGGCCATGGTGTGAAGGAGTCTGGAGCCATGGTTATTTCAGATTCGGACATAACCGTAATTGTTAAACTAATAAAAATAAGATCAAACGTACCGGATTGATGAGAATTTTTGGTGTTCTTCGTCATGTTCTTCGTCGTATGGATCTAACAAAAAAAAATATATATATACCCCAGAATTTTTTTTTGTTTGTTAATAGAGAGAACCCACCAATTTTGTAGCGTTGATTGTGACATCGAATTGTTTGTCGGATGAATATAAGTCTCTAATCCGGAGACTGAAGTTGAACCCTAACAAAAACATATATTCATAGCATAAAATTCATAAATAAAAGGTAGAGCATCACATAGTTTTTTCTTCAAAGCCAACACATCTCTCTTTGTAGCCGAATTACTCTCCAGTTTGGTATATACTCAAATTTTCCAATGACTTCCTTCTCGAACCTGGAGCGTTTTTGCTTTGCCGGATATTTTTAGGATATGGCTCTTATGTATCTCTTGTGAGTCACTTGATATGTTGTTTAGGTAAAACTTTTGGTTTGAAAGATAATGATCTACGACAAGCATAATCGGTTATTTGTTATATATGTGGCCATGTTCATATTGCTTTCTCCACAAGCAATTTTCCAGTTTTGTAGCATTCGATATTTAAATTTAAAAGCTTCAATACGTTGTATACATGTGTATGTATGTACATATATGAATTATTCTCAGTTGCACATAGTGGTTTCTAATGGATAGATACTTGCTCTCTGTAACCCTCTCATTTTTAGTACCTATCTTCAGTGTTTACTTTGCTAAGAGCTTCTTGATAGGCATACATCTTTACAATCTCAGATCAATATACTACAAATACATATACGATACAGTTAAGAAAATGATATTTCTCTTACAACTTTTTATATGGGTTTTATAAACAAGAGATCAACTGAAGGGTTACGCAGCGACCAATGGTGAAGGTAGAGACAAAGATACTACAATAGGGACGATAAATATGACACGATATATACAAAGGAGATGCCTGTTTCTATACCATTGAAATTTTACGTACATAACTACTTCAAAGAGCAAGATGACTTACTTGATAGGTAAGAGATATGGTAAGAGATTATATTTTTTCAATTATTTGTTTCCAACTACGAAAAACTCCAGTGACATACAATCTAAAAGCATGAATATGTATTAAAATCAAGAATACAACAAAAACCAGGAAGATGGGCCCAAATTAAAGTCCGAAACTGGACGTGGGGAACCCACAGACAGTGGCGGTCGGAGCGTTACAAATATGAAAGAAACGAGGAAGCGTGAATATGTCATAAAACCAAGAGTACTACAAAACCAAGAAGATGTGCTCAAAGAACGAAACTGGACGTGGGAACCCACAGACAGTGGCGGTCGTGGCATTACAAATATGAAAGAAACGAGTAAGCATGAATATGTCATAAAATCAAGAGTACGACAAAACAAAGAAGATGGGCCTAAAGACCGAAACTGGACGTGGGGAGCCCACGGACAGTGGCGGTCGGGGCGTTGCTAATATGAAAGAAACGAGTAAGCATGAATATGTCATAAAATCAAGAGTACGACAAAACAAAGAAGATGGGCCTAAAGACCGAGACTGGACGTGGGAACCCATGGACAGTGGCGGTCGGGGCGTTGCTAATATATTGTTGGTTTAAATATATAGATTTTTTATATTTAATTCTATTATATATATCAAGATATAAACACTAATAATTGTTTGTGATTCAAAAACACTATTAATTGTTGATTACTAATAATATATATCAAAAGTTATATCGTTTTACCATAATTCTATATTAATGTCGTTATAAAAATTAGACTCTTGACAAAATTAATTCAATAAATATCCCTAACTTGATAACCCTAAATATTAATTATTAATTCTGGTCTTAATCAACATACAACTCCGCGCTGGGCGCGGAGACCTCCCCTAGTTAAATATAAAAGAAAGACTAAAGTTTGATTGATTAATATAAAAGGCTCATTGGCTAATAATTAGCTCCCTTCTCCTTAAATCCCGAATAAATCTCAGAGAAACGACATCGTTGTGGTCGCTTTAAATCCTATCACTGCTTTTTCTCAGATAAGGGAGACGACAAAAATGGAAGTGAAAGGGAAGGAGACAGCTCCGAGTCTATGTCTGAGCAAATACGTGGATCCATCGAGTGAAGAGAGTCATAGATACTATCTTGCGCGGCAAAATGCCTTGCAGATGCTCCGAGACAGAGGCTACCAAGTCTCCGACGAAGATATCAATCTCTCCCTTCACGATTTTCGAGCTGTTTACGGCGAACGTCCCGATGTTGATCGTCTCCGCATCTCCGCTCAGCATCGCTCCGATTCTTCTAAAAAGGTATATCAAAGTATTTCGTACTGATTGTGATTTTTCGATTTCTTAGCGGTTTTTGTCTTTGCATGTTGTGGCTGTGAAGAAGATGATGGAATATAAAATTTGGACTCTTCGAATTGAAGTTTGAATTGCCACTTTTGTGGATTCAGATGACTAAACTTTACTACTTTATTGTCCTAATCAAGTAATATGCCTCATTTGTTTGTCCTCTGAAACTTTGTAATGTGAAATGTTTCTGGTAACAAGTGATTCTTAGATATATGCATCTGGCTATTGAACATTTTTGACAATATATTGTGACGCAGAGTGACCTCTCCGATCTTTAGAGCATGGTTAATGTCAAATGTGCGAGTTCTGATGATAACTACAGGTTCCCATTATTGATTGTAGAATGAGACTGAACTGCAAAAGAATGGTTATGTTGAATTTTTGTTGAAAGTCTTACCCTTTTTTGTATTGGTTGGTTCGTTTCATGTTGCCACTGATTTGGTATGCTCATTGGCATGCTTGTCACTTGCTTTCACAACTAGTCCAATTTCATATATTGATTGTTACAAGTTCTCCGGAATGCCTTCTATTTTCAACTCAGGATGCTTCTAGCATCAGCTCTAGTCTTATGGCATAACGACAGATATCTCATAATGATCTTCTGGATTTAAAGGTTTAGTTCAAGAAATTTGGCGATTTTGTTCTTTCAGGTCAAGGTTGTCTTTTTTGGTACTGGTATGGTTAAAGTCAATGCAATCCGCAGTATAGCGGCGGATGTACTTAGCCAAGAAACAGTAACTGGGCTGATTTTGGTTCTGCAAAGCCAAGTAACCAAACAAGCCATGAAAGCCATTGAACTCTTTTCTTTCAAGGTCGAGATATTCCAGGTTGGTGCATATATATATTTATCTTCCTAATCTATTTTGTCTTGGTACAACTTCAAATCTGTAACATCTAGTTTCCTTCTTGCTAAGATAACCGATCTGCTAGTCAACATAACCAAACATGCACTCAAGCCACAACATCGGGTTTTGAATGATAAAGAGAAGACAACACTTCTCAAGAAGTTCAGTATTGAGGAAAAGCAGGTACATTATCCATTTCTCAGGAGCTTATAAAAAATTAGTCTCCTCACCTTTCTAACCATTCATTCTTAAATTTATTTAACAGCTACCTCGGATTTCAAAGAAAGATGCGATCGTCCGCTACTACGGATTAGAGAAAGGGCAAGTTGTGAAGGTGAATTATAGAGGCGAACTCACGGAATCGCATGTTGCCTACCGATGTGTGTGGTGAAGAAACCAATAAAAAACCATCTTGTGTACTTATTTTCAGGAAAAGAAAAAAGAACTTGTGTTTTGTTTCTCATCCTAGAAGATCCTTTGCTTTGAACCCAAGAAGAAGTTAAAAAACAGAAACAAAAGATCCTTTGCTTGTTCTTAAAAACATTACCATTTATGTCTTCCGTACAAAGAGCTGTCACTACACGCTATCAAACACACAAAAAAGGTCATGGAGACTCCACCATTTCTTCAGAGGTTGGAGGACAATCAAAGCTCGTTGATGGATCGGTTTGAGCGGTTATCATTTGAGGCTCACCTCAACAATGCCTTGCTTGGTCGGAGTCTATCTGAGTCGGGCTTCTCTTTGATGTACAGTGCGGTCGTCGATGATTCCCCAATACATACAGCCGCTCCAGCGAACCAACCTAGACGACGATTAGGACTGAATAAGATACTGAAAAAGTTGATGAAACCAATTAGATATTGTAGCAAAAAAATCGGCAGAGGAAGAAAAGAAGAGGCGTGTGATTTTGATCCCAAGAGTTTTAACTTTAAGAATTGGCAAACTTTCAGCAAATCTGTCCGATTATTTTGAGTCCCTTAATATTAATTAACTCTTGTATTTTCTAAATATTTATATCTTAACTACCTCTGTTATGTTTTCTTAATTAAACAAAGTATCACCTTAGAGATATTGTTGGCAAAATAAAAATGACCGAAAATCTGATGTTTGTTGCCTACGATATTGTAATTAACATCAAAATCTGAAATTCTTTACAAATCACACCAATAGTATATGATTGTATTATCCAAACTGTTTGATTGAGTCCATGTTTGAACAACTAAAAAAATAACGTGAATGATTTCAATCACTTATTTTTCTCTCATGAAACTTGTAAATCCATTCAGTTATAGGGTTATTAATAACAAAACAGAAAATATAGGATAAAGGTGGATAAATCTTAACAATACAGGGGTCTTGTTGATAAAATTCAAGGGATAGATATTCCTCTGTTTCCCTGAGCTTGGGCAACAAGTCCAACTTCTCTCCTTAAGAATTAAGAAAGAGAGACCAGAAACGAAGACCTCATTAATCAAAGCTCAAAATCGCCTTCAATGGATGCTAAGATCGGACAATTCTTTGACTCCGTTGGTTCCTTCTTCAGCGGCAGCGATAAGATCCCATGGTGTGACGGAGATGTCATCGCTGTAAGTTTTTTTCTCTATATCCTTCATTTGTTTCGCTTTTTTTCCGCCTATGTTTCCCAAGACGAGAAACCATCTCTTGTAGCCGAACGGAATCACCAACTGGTTGCAGAAATTTAGACCTGTTTTCGTGTTTTTGTTATAGAAATTTCTGAAATCGGATTTGCTTTCTTTAGGATTTGTCCTTTTATCAATATTTTTTTTTGGATTCGAGCTTCAGAAGTTTATGAGATGTTGTTAAATTCGTCTTCAAATGAGCGTGATTACTGATTTTTGGACCTTACGTTGGATCCGAGTTTGATAACTGTAGAACTTTACCAAATGTCACAGCATCATGATTTTTTTGTTTGATAGCTTTGTATCTTCTTCAATCGTCTAGCTTCACTAGCTAAACTCTGTTGTTTTTGATGTGCAGGGGTGTGAAAGAGAGGTTCGAGAGGCCACAGATGCTGGCTCTGAAGATCTTAAGAAAGAGTGCTTGATGCGATTGTCTTGGGCTCTTGTTCATTCCCGTCAAACCGAAGATGTTCAACGAGGAATAGCCATGCTTGAAGGTAATTGTACTCCTATCTTGTTCTGTGCATACCATGGCCTGAAATATTAGTTTGGCTGCAAAGTTTAGCAATGTTTTTGACACAAGAGGGTTGAAGCTTTTCCTTCTGCATCATTTAAACATGAGATTGATAAATTTGTTTTTGTTTTTTTTGCAGCATCTCTGGAAAGCAGTGCCCCTCCTTTAGAGGACCGAGAGAAGCTCTATCTTCTTGCTGTTGGATATTACAGAAGTGGGGACTACTCAAAGAGCAGGCAGCTCGTGGACCGCTGTATCGAGGTATTATCCACTTCCTCACACTTTTCTTTATAGGCAGCTCGTGCTTCTATATATGTATGCACCTCTTTGATGGATGCTTTGGTTTTTCATAGATGCAAGCTGATTGGAGACAAGCTTTGGTCCTAAAGAAGACCATCGAAGACAAAATCACAAAGGGTAAGCGCCATTCGTTACACATGAATCAATGGATTGTTCTAGGGATGGTAAATGTTTGTAACAACATCCAAATTGACTCACAGAGTTACTAAATGGTATTTTTTCATTCTCAGATGGTGTTATAGGGATAGGGATCACTGCTACAGCCTTTGGAGCTGTGGGTCTCATAGCCGGTGGTATCGTAGCAGCTATGTCTCGCAAAAAATGAAAACCACAACCATGACTTCTTCTCTGTGTATACAATGGCAGCTTACTTTTTTTTTCCAAGTTTTTTATCCTCTTTGACTGTGTTTTCCACTGCTTGCTTCACAATTTGAATAATTTTTCAGAGTTTTATAATATGTGTAAGCCTGAGTTGGATATTTCACCTTTCCTTAAATTTGGTTTTACCATTTCTACCTAGAAACATCATAATACTAATTTCCTGGTTCAAATGGAGAGCTAAAAATATAACGTTTTTTTTTACAATTCCCGGATATTTGTAACATGTGCTTATTATTTACTTGTGGCTTTAAACGAGTGGGCTTTCTGTGCCAGTGAAATTATGTCCTTTCTTCTTTTTTTGTAACATGGCCCTATGTAAGATAGGGCTTATTACACGTTTCAAGAACGCCCCTGATTTTTAGGATTCCACTGGGATATGTAATTCCTTGGCACTGTAAAATCAACTATTCTTTTAACTATTTCGTCTCTAACAACAACAAAATTTGACAGTTTTTGGATTTTAATGGAATTCTGCTATTCTTAATTACTTGAACAGAAACAACTGAAATTGAGACAAGTATGATATCTACAAAATAGTAACAACAATTCTACAAAGTTCTAACTAGTAACTACAAATTAACAAAGGTAAGAAACACAAAAAAAAAAAAAAAAAAAAAAAAAATTCTGATAAACTATTTCGAGCTCTTGTTGCCACGAGAAAGAAACTCAGTAATCTTCTCCAAAGCCACCGTACGCCCAAACTGAGCAAAACCATTGCAAAGTCCGGTCTCTCTGTCTAAGTCAACGAGAGTTGACTTCAACCTCTTTCGTTCCTCCTCCACATCTCCCATAGCTATAGTCAACGGAGACCTTTTATTAACGGCAAACTCCGCAGTCACACGAATCGACCTCTCCACAGTATCCAATCGACTCACGAGTTTACTAATTTTCTCAACTTGTTTGAGAGCAACCGTCGTTCCTCTTTCCATAGAACTCATGGCCGTCTTCTCCCGTTTCAATGATTCGGTCGATTTTCTCCACCTTGAAGCTACAAATGTAGTCAATCCCTCCATAGGAACTAATCCGGCAATGAGTTTGCTCAGGAAGATTGCAGCAATTACTGGAGCAAGTAAAGCTGCGGTAACAATTGCTCTTCGTCCTCGAACACGTCTCAGCTTTTTGTCGATTTCTTTCATAGTCTTCTCCAGTTTAACGATCATCTTCGCCAGCTCTTCATGACAGGTCTGAAATTTTCTGAGAAATTCGCAATAATCCAAGTCGTCGTCGTCATTGTTATAAAAGGCATTGAAGTTCCTCAGATCTCGGAAGGTTTTTCTGAAGCTAGCTTGTTCGAGAAGTAACCCGCCATAACCCAATTTTTCTTGCTCAAAATCAGATAGTGCTTCATCAATTAAGAGACACTCGTTGTTCTCGGCTCTCTCCAAGCATGTTCTAAGAGACTCGCAGAGCTGGGAAACACCTTTGCTAGTGGTGAAGTAGTGGTTGAGAAGACGGAACAAGTCGGGATCTTCGCGGAGATCAGTTTGCTCGAATTCGATGAAGAGTTTAGAGACGTCTTCATCCATATTCTCCATGCAGTCGCCAAGTTTCTTTAGATTATCTTCTGATCGCGATCGCAGCATCCCATTAGTGTGGCCGATGGACGACGAAGTGCTAGGTGGCGATAGGAGAAACATTGTTGGAGAAACCATGGAGATCGGTTTACGCTTGAGAATGAGTCTCAAGAAAGGATTGCAAATTATCATCTTTTTGCAAAGCAAAAGAAAGATCAATACGAGTTTTTAGCGAACAGAGTAATCAAAATAATACGATTTTTTAGAGAACAGAGTAAAGAAACTTTCGCAATTTGGACCAGATGAATAAGAATGAATATAGAAATATTAGTCAGCAATCCTGTGTATTATATATTAATAAACTTGTAAACAATTTCCTTTTCTGCGTAGAAATATTTCTTTATTTTTTGCCAAGTTAACATTTCCTTTTTTTTGTTTACTTTTCTACAGTTGTATAAACCTAGGAAAAAAAAAAGGAAATATATCTTTGAATTGATGCAACGGTAACCTGTAAATATTTATGAATAAAATTAAACAAAATAAGTAAAAGAATGATTTTTTGTTGATTCTAAAACAATCAAACCAATTGGTAGGATAGATCTCTATTGTTTGTTGCGATTTTTCTTATATGTTTTGACTAAAACTATTTTTTTATTTCATATTTTATATATATTTAAGCTAAAAAAATTGTATTGAAAATATTCAAGGTATAAATTGTTTTTGAACTATTGTCAAAAAAAAAAAATTGTTTTTGAACTAAACTTAAAAAGTGAAGCATTGTAGTACTCACAGGCTAAGACAAGTATTAGTTGCACAACATACCTAATTTTTTCACTAGTATTTCAAGATTTTTATATATGACGAGTCTCCATCACTTCCTTGACCTTTTTCTTTAGGTAGCACCACCACCAAAACATCTCCACCAATATTACCTTGTTTTGCTTGTTTTGCTTGTTTGCTACCAAAAACTCTTAACGATACTCTATCGACTAAATATCCCTTCAATTTTTTTATTTTTTTTTATACTAAATTCTAAAGAATTTATCAATATATCTAACAAACGTGACAATGAATCAAATTCTCTAAATTCTATCTCGGTTGGCTTTGTACTAAGCTAATTTAGTTTGTGCCAGTTAGATCCCCAAAAACCAATGTTCGAGGTTGTCTGAAGATAAACCCAATTATCAGCATTGGTACATGCCGTAGGTTAGAAGAAAACAAGTCTTTGTCATGAAACACAAGAATATTTGGGGTTGACTTTCATGTGACCGTATTTGTTGGATGATCATAAGACATTTCCTTATATTTGACCTTCAATATTATATTGATCGAGTTTACGTTTGTGTATATTGTTGTTTGGCGGCTTGAGTTTGTTTTGTTTATCTTGGATTTTTGTATAAACGTTGTGGTCGGCTAAAAACCTGTATGTCGAATCTAGCCCATCAAAAACGGAACACTGAACTAATGTTTAGGCCTTGAGAAAATGTCAGAATTAACCAGATCCGATCATGTCCATATAGAAAGTAAATTAAGCTAATTTGCAAATCACACTTCCACTATTTTTTTGGTTAAATTCAGTTCCACTTTCCAGTATATTTTTTATCCAAACGAAGATAACACGAGTGTGTGTTTACAATCTAAGGGTTTCATTTTAAATTATGACTTGGATTATGGATAGTGAGACTTTGTCCACACATATTCCTATACGGCATAATCGCACATTTGGTTCTCATTGTCTCCATACTTATAATACTATTTATTTTTTTAAGTATCATTATCTTCTACAAATCGTAGTTGTGTATTTCTAAAATTATAAGTGTACAATAGATACTACGAAGAACATTCTCTATGGTGTCACATTGGCTGTAGTTGTAATTTTTTAATGAAAAAGGAATAGTCAAAGAATCAATTAGAAAATTATATAACAATCACCTTAATCACGTGAATGGATAAGTTATAGATAAATTGCATCTAGTAACACTTTTTGGTGCTCAAGTTAAAAAGTAACATGCGCAAATATTTATATAGATACAACGGTGAACGAATGGTTCAATTAAAGTGTCGAACGCCAAAGGATGAAGCACATTGTTGATGTGGATATTTGCTAATTAGTCTACTCCGGCTAATGAGCAGTAAATTAAATCGTCTAATTTTATTCTTTAACTAGGATTTAACCCCCGGTAAACCGCGGGGCAAAATTATATTTTATGTATTTTATATAATAATTTATAATTTATTGGATTTTTAAATTGATATTAAATAAAAAAAATTCATTTAATTATTTTATTATAATTAATATCGTCGAAATATGTGTACTTAGAAAAGTTGGAGGTGTAGAAATGATATAGTGCTAATATTGGCAGACATTTATAATCATGGACTATTATAATAATTTGATATTATTTTGTATCAAAAAAATTTACCCCGCGATATATTGTGGGTCGATTTTTTTAAACTAAAATTTTTAAATTTTAAATTATATTTGTTTGGTTTGTTTAGTATTTAAGATTATATAATTATATCTATATTTTTAATTCTAGGTTTCACCTGTGGTATACCCCGTTTTGTATTCAGAATTATTTTGGTCTTTTTTATAGTATGATTCTAAACCATTGCCCAATTTTTTAAGCAATGTAGGACATTGTACACATATTTTTTCTTCATCAATTGAGTAATATATGTCCGTTTTAAAAAAATTTAATCACATTATATGCAGAAAAAATTTATTATTTTATTAATTATATATATTTTATATAAATTCAAAATAAATTACTATAAGATCATATAAAAGTAAAAGAGGAATCATACAATAATGTTTAAATTAGGTAGAGATGTTTTAGGAAAATTTAGAAACAAAATCAATTTGTTACTATATTTGGAAGCCATAGTTTCTAAAAGATTTTTTCAAAAATATTTTATAATATTAATTAATAGATAAACATTTATGATAATAGCATTCTTTGTAAATACTTAATAACTCTAGAATTTATTTGCTAAGTGTACTCTAAAAATGTATATATAGATTCTTCTAATATATATATGCTAGATATTTAATATCACCCATGAAAGATGTTACTATCAATAATAATAAGTAAAGAGTTAGAAACAGGTAAAATCTAAAGCGATGTCATCCTTCACGTCACTTATCTATATATACATTTTTGGATGACTTTTAGCAAATAAATCCTGGAGTTGGAATGTATTTACAAAGAATGCCATTGGCATTTATTATTTACTTTTACAAAATTTAAATAAAAGATATGAACCAAACAATATCTTGTCTAATTTGTTTTTAAAAATCTCTACACAATCTTTCCATATATCTTCAAAAAACTTTTATAGCAAATATTTATATTAACATTTTGCATAGTAATAAAAATACTAATTTATAATAATCAAAATATTCACATAGAAAAATTATATACACATACAAGAAAAAAACTATATATGTCATCATTTAAGTCGTTGCTTTATTTAAATAAAATAAAAACACAAAAACCTGAAATCATATATTTTATATGATAAATTTAAAATATATATTAGTAATATAAATTTAAAATCATTCAAAGAACGGTATACCACGGGTGAGATCCTAAAATTATTGGATTTTATTACAATAATAATTTATTTTCTTGGATTTTATAACACTAATAATTTAGCTAATGGGATAATATAGACGGGTTTATATGGAATGACGGGTTTGGGTCGATATTAATAACGGTATATTAAGGATGAAATCCTAAAATTAACAATCAAAATACAATTATACAATCTTAAACACAAAACAAAAGAAACAATATTAACAAAACAAATACAACTTAAAATTTTTAGTTATTAAAAAACCGACCCACGGTATACTTCGGAGTCAAATATTCAAAATTTTAAAATCCACCATACATCGTTACTTAAAAAAAATGTATGTTTTCGTATCTATACTTTAAAAATTGAAACCTAAACAATAGTAATCATACACTAGATAATACATAGATATATATCTACATTTAAAAATACAAATTAATATGATATATCTTCAGTTAAACTTTAAAAAATAACATTATATTTTTTAAAAAAATATAGCCACGCGGTGTACCGCGGGTTAAATTCTAGTTTAGAAAACATTTTTGCAACATTTTCCAGTTTCTATTTTGATGTTCACATTATGGTCTCGTCAGCGCCGCTTTCTCCTCCATTTATCCGATCGGTTAAATAGATTTGTCTCCTAATTCTTTTTGTTCTCCTAGCAACTTATTCGTATCATGTTTCTTCAGTATTTGGTTTGTTTTCCAAAACATATTTTTTCTATGCGCTCTAGTCCACCAAAAAAATCAGTCTATAAGATTTAATATAGACAAATTTGTACTAACTAATCTACATCACTTTAATCATTTTATTATCTCACCCGTTCCAAGGCCAATCGGACTAGTATTATATTAAAATTGTGAATATTTTAAAGTCAGAGTTTCTTAATTAATCTAAAATATATTCAAATGGAAGTCGCCGTCTTTTCTCATAGATATTAGATTAGACAATTTTTGCAAATTCGAGTTTTTAAATTCAAATTAATCTTTTGATTACTAGAAAGCAAAAAGACCTCTATATAAATAAATATCTGATAAAAACCAAACATAAAGAGAAACAAAAGAAGTTTGCCCAAAAAAAAAAAAAAAAGAGAAACAAAAGAAGAGTAGACTTTCCATCACCGCTATAATGCGCCGATCTCCGCGTTCTCTATAAGACGCCAGTATCCGTGCCCGCTATAATGCGCTGGTCTCCGTGTCCGCCTCTCTCCGCCGTCTAATGTCTGATCTTCTAGGTCTCCTCCACAAATTCGAACAAGAATTTGTCTTAATGTGCAAAACCAAAATGGGAGTCAATGCTTCAGAGCCTAAACGAACACGATCGCGACCGAGTCAATCGCAAGAGAGGCATCCGTCGACGAGACGATCTCCGTCAACGAGCACCACCGGCACAACAACCACGACGACATCGAATTCTAACAAAACTGGTGCCTCCTCCTCCTCCTCAGGTGCTTCTTCTTCAGTCGCTAGTCGAACATCTCTCGCTAGTCTCCGAGAATCCTTACCGGAGAACCCTCACATATACAACGTCTCCGAGATTCGTGCCGCCACCAACAATTTCCTCGCCAATCGCTTATCTTCCTCTTCCTCTAAAGCCTCATGGCGTTGCAATTTGAGAGGGAAAGAAGTCGTTGTCTTTCAGAGAAAGTTTAGACGAAGAATCGCCATGGATGAGCTTAGAGATCGTCTTTCAGATATCTGCCGGAGCCACCACGGAAGCATCATAAATCTACTCGGCGCTTCTGTTTCCGGCGGTGGAAGAGGAGGAGGAGGAGGAGGCGATCACATCTACCTAGTCTACGAATACGTCAACGGAGCATCTCTCGC